AATCCTTGAGATGAATGCTTGGCTCATTAATTTCCAGCCTCGGTTATTTTCTAAAGTAAATATTCACAACCATCCCTCTCTCCCTAAGCCCTGCTCCCCTGCCTCCCTCGTATTTTGATGTGCTTTGCAGTCTAATTTTTTCATTCCATTCCATTCAAATTTTCTAGTTTGCATGATGATTTTTTTCTTGACTCGTGGATGACTTAGAAGCACATTTCTTAATTCAAAGCTATCTTTTTGATACTGAAATTCATGAAAAAGAAAAAAAAAGCCCTGTCCAGCGTGGCTCAGTTGGTCGGGCCGGGATGGGTGCGCACTGAAAGGTCACGGGCCCGCCGGGGACAGTGGGGACAGCGGGGACAGGGCCAGAGGCCGGAGCAGCGGCTCAAAGCCACACCCTGTCCCAGACCCTCCTCCTTAAAACGCAGCTTCATCCTGAGCCTCATCAGGAGAGCAAATTCCTCCAAAGTGAGCAGGAATTGACGACAGGGGAAACAGAAACATGGGCTAAACCCATCAAATAAAACAACGGTGCTTTGCAAAGATCAATGAAATCGATCAACCCCTCATTAGGATGATCAGAAAAACTGGAGAAGACACAAGCTACTGTTTCATGTCATAAAAAAAGAGGCAACACTGGAGATCCTCAGGCTTCAAAAAGATGATAAAGGAATGTTATGAAGATCTTCTGCAGACAAATTTTCTAGTGGACACATTCCTTGAAAGACACAGAGCACTGAAGCTCAGTAAGACAGAAAGAGACGACGGGAGAGTCCTATCGATCCACTAAAGAGAGTGAATTCGCCATCAAACCCCTTGTCACCATGAAGGAAACCAGGCCCAATGGTGTCATCCAACAGTTTTCTATCAAACGATTTTCTATCAAACGATTTTCTATCAAACGATTTTCTATCAAACGATTTTCTATCGAACGCCTGAGGGAGGAAAAATCTAATCTTACAAACCCGTTCTGAAAATAGAGACGGGAGCAGTCCCAACCTTTTTGAGGTGAGCACAACCCAGTCACCAAGACGCTGCAGGAAAAAGAATTACTGACCCATAACCCTACTGATGATAAACCCGGAGATCCTGCCAAACGTCAGCAAATCTGTGTGGCGCTCACAGGGAGGGCCGCACGCAGGGACCAGGCTGCGATGACCCCAGGAGTGCAGGGCTGGCTTATTGTTTGAAAATCGATCCATTTAATTCACCATGTTAGCAGAATAAGAGAGGGGGGAATAAAAAGATTCTTTAAATTGATGCAGAAAAAGCAGTTAACAAAATTCAGCACCTATAGGATTTGCTTTAAAAACGTTCGCATATTGGGGGTAGATGGAAAGTCGTGGGGGGATAAAGGGCGAGCTGGGGAGAGCTCCCACCCGCATCGCGCCCGAGGCGAGACGCGCGCCAGCTTCCCCGAAGGTCAGCGGTGAGGCCTCTGCACGACACTGAGCCGGATCCCCCGGCGAGCGCAGAAAGGCGGGAAAGAGAAACAAAAGGCACATGGAAAGAGAAGACGGGAATAAACTCCACTTACAGACCACAGGATCGTGTGTGCAGAAGATCCTGGAGAATGTGGGAAATCAGTACCAGAGCCAGTAAACGAACACAGCAAAGCACAGCATAAAAGCAAAGAGAAACGTTAGTCTGGGTTTTATACATTAGCAAAACAAACGATCGCAAAGTGAAAATCTTTCAATTCCATTTGCAATAGCATCAAGAATCATAAAATCCTTGCCCGGCCGGGCGTGGCTCAGCGGTTGAGCATCAACCTAGGATCCAGGCGATCGGGGTTCGATTCCCGGTCAGGGCACATGCCCGGGCTGCGGGCTCGATCCATGACTCTCTCATCATTGATGTTGCTCTCTCTCTCTCCCTCTCCCTGAAATCAATAAAGATGTGTTTTTTTTAAAAAAAAGAATCATAAAGTTCTTAGGGGTATGTTCACATACGGTGGGTAAGGCCCGTAACTAAGAGCCACGCAGCTGCGGGGGACGAAAGCAGCCCCGAGGGGAAAAGCCGGGTCCGCGGACCAGAAGACGCGACATTATTAAAATGTCAGCTCTCCCGCCCTGGAATCTGCAGATGTAATTTCTTTCCAGTCACAGCCCCAGCAGGCGTTTTAAATAGAAATTGATAAAATGTTTCTAACATAGATGGAATTGCCAAGGACCTAAAATGGATCTGTGACCATGGAGATGTTCCGCTAAGCGTCTTAAATGCGGTTATTGTACCTGGGGAACTGGATCTCCGTGTAAGTTCATTTTAATAAATTTAAATAGCCGCGTGCGCCGGGTGACTCGCTGCGAAGGAGGCCGCGGGCCCGGGGCATGCAGAGCGGCCGGGAAAGGAGGGCCGTGAGCGTGGGACTTACGTGGCCTGAGTTCGAAGCTCGTGGCACAGTTACCGTCATCGGGCGGCATGGAGGCGGCCAGGGAACAGACACGAGTAGACTAATGGACGGGACAAAGGGTCCAGGAGGAGACCAAGTGCATTCGGTCACTTGATTTCGGCAAAGTCACCAAAGCGGAGACACAGGAATTCCTTCAGCTGGTGGTTCTAAAACCAGTGGATGTCCTGCTGCGGAAAAAAACACATTTCAACCCCACCTCATATCGGCCACAAAATCATCATTTGAGATGAATCAGAGACCCCCGTGTAAAAGAGAAACTGTCATGTTTTAGAAGAAATTACAGGGTATCTGTATGTCCTGGGAATTGGCAGAAGTTTCTAGGCCTGGGGAAGGGCTTGGGGGGCAATGTCCTGTATCTGGATGGGGACCTGGGCTACGGTGGTGGGTGCACTTCCCAAACCTCACCAAGTGGCATATTTAAGATGATGGTGTCGCCACATGTAAGCTGACGGCCCTCCCCCCAGTACGAAGAACTGTGCGTGGTCAGTGCCGTGCTCCGAGCTGCTCAGGAGCGAGGCCTCTGCGGACCACGTCTGACTTCCCCCTTTGCGTGGCAGACACACGGGCTGGCTGTCCCTCCCTGGGGACGTGCCCCGAGGGCAGCCTTCGTCCCGCCACAACGCCCCCGGCGCCCAGAGCAGTGCCTGGCACACAGCAGGGGGCCGCCCAGAGCAGTGCCTGGCACACAGCAGGGGGCCGCCGTGACCGGCCTGTGCTGTGCACCTGAGGCTCAGCCACTGGCCCTGCCCCAGCTGCTCCTCTGCAGGCCGGGACCGGGTGCCGGGGCAGGGATGGACACCGGCTCTGCCCCCAAGGGGCACAGGCTAAACATAAGCTCAACGAGAGCGTAAGGGGAGACTTTCCAGAGGAAGCCTGGGGCGGGGTGGGACGCAGGAGCGCAGCGGGACCCCGGCCCATCCTCGCTGTTCAGGGAGGTTTGGAAGAGGAGGAATGTTTGGTCCCGGTCTTGACACAGGACTAAGCTGGGGGCGCGAGGCCGGAGGGAAGCGTGAAGAGGTGGTGGCGGGACCACAGTTCAGACCGAGCGCCTGGGTGAAGCACCGGGAGGCCCTGGTCCTGGGGAAGGTGCGATGAGGGGGTAAGGGTGACGCCCAGGTTCCTGGCCTGGGGACGTGACAGTCACCACTGGCTGAGTGGAGATGCCTCCAGGAGTCTTCAGGGCTGTGGCCAGCACTCCCCCAGGTGGGCATGTGGGACTCAGGGCAAGAGCAGGGGTCCTGCAGCCACTGAGGGTGGAGCCCTGGCCCCACCCAGGCTCCTGGTCTCCAGCCTCAAGCTGGGCACAGTGGGGTTGGCTGGGGCTCAGGGGTCACAGCTCCGTGCCTGCACCATCAGGCAGAGTGAAGACCGGGTCCCTCTAAGCCTCTTAGGAGCAGCCGTCTGGGGCCAGCCAGGAGGGAGCCACACACAGTAGACTTTCCCAACAGGACAGCCAGTGGGGACAGATATGTACCCTGGTCCCAAAGCCACCATCGTAGAGAAGCCCACTGGCGGGAAGCCCAGGGGCAGGGCCCTGCTGGCAGGAAGCGGCTGCCCCCGCCCCATCCCACAGGGCTCCGCCCAGAACATGACTCGAATAAGCAACTCTGCCTTCCCAGCCCCGCACCTGCTACCAAGATCGGGGAAATCTTAGAATTTCTTAAAGTCCATCTGGTGAAAACAGCAAAGAAAACCTGAAGGTGGGGCCCTGCTAGATATGAATATAAATTTAAAACTAAAATCCCTTCAAAAAGGAAGGTACTGGGGGAAATAAACAATCAATAGATCATAGAAGAGCTGGCCTTGTGCGGGGTTGGATCTTCGAATGCAGAATTAACTCCAGAAGTATGTCCATGAACTCTAGAGGAAGAGGCCTGGACTCTGAAGCGATGAGACCCCACGGGAGCAGGAGGTTTGCGGGCCGTGGTCCCGTCTCCTCAGGCCAGTGTGGGGGTGAAGGGCCTTTCAAGTAACGCCGGGCACCCTGTGCCTTCCCACTGTCCCCCAGGAATGGTGGTTCTTCAGAGGCCGCGTGACATGTGACCTGGCAGGAGACTAAGTACGGAGGCAGGCCTGGGACTCCAGCTGTCGTCTACTGAGCCAGACGTTAAAGAAATTTGCAAAAATGTAAAACAATGCTACTCTTCTAAATTTTTTGTTTTGGGAATTAAAGTTTTCATTAAAACGTGCTATTTATGTTGACATCAATGAGTTTATTTTTAATATTTTAAAACATCCTCCATTTTATTTTATAAGATGATATTGACAAAACCTACAAAAGCAAAAGCTCTTTTGGGTCCTCAGTGATTTTTAACGGTGCAAAGGGACTTGGGGACCCAAAGGCTTGAGCACTGCTCTCGGTCCCTAAGCCCTTGGGCAGGGCGTTTCGCCACCCACAGACCCCAGCACCCCGCACACCCATGTGTGCAGCAATCTGAGTTTACTGGGTGCCTACTATGTGCCACAGGGCACTGTTACAGGTGCAGTGACACAGCATAAACGGAAGGGGCACGATACACCCCTGCTGTCAGTCTAGTGGGCACAGGCAGGACGTCGAAACTGGTGAACACGACACAGAGGCAAACGCTGGACACCTGCAGCCACGTGACGCACACAGGTTAACACCTTTAATATACGATGAGTCATACGAATGTCAGACCCCGGTGGATACGACCAAAGGACACGGACAGCTCACAGAGGAGGAAATACAACTGCTCAACGTTAACAGATGTTAAACTTTGCTGAAAATGAGAGAAATGCCAACTAAAACACAATGCTGCTTTTCCATGATCAAATGAGCAGACGGAGCCAGACGCTGACCCTGGGCACTGGGAAGACGGCAGGATGGGCACGTCCATCCTTGCTGGTGGCAGTATAAACGGGGCGCTTCTGGAAACGTCTGTCAACATAGGCAGAGCCTCACCGGCTTTCAGCGTCAGTTCGACAGGCCCACCTCCGGGACCCTTTGCTGAGGACCAGGCGCGGCTTACCCACGGGGACACTCGTCAGTTTCCAACAGTGAGAACCCGGGGACGGCGCAGTGACCACCCACTGCCCTGCTGTCCCTCCACTCGATGGAGGCGGCCCCACCATTTCAAAGTAAAATTAGTAGTGACACGGGGAGGGGGGAGCCTGGAAGGAGAGACCAAAATGTGAAATTTTACGTTTCTTTCCTCTACGTTATTTTCCAAGGTGTCTGCGATGTGTCTGTTTGCTGAAAAGACCCAGTAGGCATCTTTTCATAGAAAGGAGTCGGCGATGTGGAAGCGAGGAGCTGGGCTCCGCCCCACCAGCCGCCACCACCCGATGAGAGGCCCCTGAGATGACACGGGAGGCAGCTCTGTTCACAGTGGACGGTGGACCTGCCCTGCACCTGCCTCCTCCCTACTGAGCTCCAGCTTACAGCCCCAAGCTGCCCCTCTTCCTCCCACCTCATGTCACCATCTCTGAGCTAAGCTAATGCCTCCCAAGCAGGGCGACCTCTGGCTACGGGGTGGAAGGGACACTGTGAGCTCTTCCCACTGACAGCTCTGCTCACAGTTGGTAGTCCCAGCATGTGACCCTCACACATCCCAGGGCCTGGTCCCCCAAGTTCATGCCCCACTCCCCCCACACTGTCCGCTCTCCTGTGGGCCCGTCAGGGTCAAGGCCACCAGTGGGTGGTTCTGTTCCCCTGACCAGAGCGTGTGCCCCGGGAAGTCTTGCCTGCACCTTCACGGGGTGTTGCACTGCTCGGCATGACTCACTGTGCGCTCACTGGGGAGCAATGAAACAGGCCTTTGATTTTCCTAGAAGCCGCTGAAACGCTGTAGGGCATTTACTCCCCAGGTCACACTATATACTAAGCCAGGAAGTCACCCCTTATGCTGAATCCTGTCTCCGGCGATGCTGTGAGGAACTGAAGCTTACTTACCAGGGGACCCACAGAGACTGAAAGCAGGCGCAACACGGCTTAACACCAACAGCATGGAAAACAGAACCTGTCCCTCACATGCACTGGTTCACACCACTAACCACCTGACTCTTTCCTAGATCAATACCTGTCCTCTTAAAGAAATTATAACCCCAAGTATGTACAAGGCAGCCTTCCTCCCCCACTTCCCTTCGGCATGACCCCACCAGCCGCTGTGGCCTAGACCTGGGTTGTGTGGAACGTGGGTCCCATCCTCTCTTGCTGGGGACAGGGTGTCTTCCACCTGAGCCAGGGGGCTCCATGTGCTTCCTTCTGAGTCTAGAGCGGGGTGACCCCGAGCTCCCTCACCTGCTCGTTTCCACAGCTGCAGGAAGCAGGCAGGGTCACAGGTATGCAGCGACAGTCCCAGTCCCAGGCCCACAAGCACACGCAGTAAGACGAGACACAACCAACCACCACGCCAAATGAAGCCAGAGCAGCAGCCCTGGCTGGGCACGACAACCCAAAGGGCCAGGTCACCAGCATGGATGGGTACCGTGGCCAGCCCTGCCCACGGGCTCGGGCTCTGGCAGGTGAACAGTATGGCAAACACAGTACCCAATGCAACAGGATTTCTAAAATCCACATGGGTAGCCCCAGGGCCGCTGAGACGACAGAGTTCCTGCCTGGCTCCCATGCTGGGTCTCCTACCCTGGCTGGGCTGGGCCGGGCTGCATGGATACCTTCAAGGTGTCTTTTACCCACTGCGGGCTTCCTTCTCCCCAGGTGCCACTGTACCCCTTCATCTGTGGCCACCTCTACCCAGCAGACTGGCAGAAGAAAGCTGGGCACTGAAAGTGATCAGTACCCCATCCGAGGTGCCACCCCCAGGACTGTGGCTCCATTGGGTCCTCCCCCAATCATGCTTAATGAGCACCATGGGCCCGCCTGAGCAGCCTGGGCTGGAACCCAGGGGGCCTGTAGCCTGTACCAGGCAGTTGTCGGGCAGGGCAGTTGGGCTAACAGAGCTTACAGTGAGTGGGGGGCAGTGGTCCACCAACGTGAGCAACCATGGAACAGCCTTGACCTCACAAGGCAGCGGCTGCTCCAGGAGCACATGCGGTCACTTTCCCAGCATCACCGAAACTCTTAGGGAGTACGGATGGGCCCCAGGACCCCAGGCTCTGGGTGTCCTAAGACATGTCTCTGGGTGGATCCGAGGCTGTCCTGCAGTGGGGACAGCGCAGGGGCAGATGAGCCCAGGTAAAATACCCCATCTCCCCCCGTGGCCCAGGTGGCCGTGGAAATGCAGTCCATTTGGCATCGATTATGGCGGGAACATCACCCGAAGGACTCGGCCAAGCCTCACTTAGAGATTGCTGGGCGTCCCGCACAAGGAAGTGTAAGGCCGTCCAGCTCTAAGAGGTATAACTTTGTCCCTCAGAATCGCAACAGGAGGCCAGCCTGCACTGTCACATCAGGACGGAGATCGCCCACAGCTCTTTTGCTTTACAAATGCCAGCATGACCCTGGCTGGGTTACCAGAGCCAATACCGCCTCCCCCCTCCTCTCTCGCCTTCAGTGCTGAGGGATGCAGCCCAGAGGAATGAGGTCTCCAGCGATGGGTACAAGTTTTCTTGGACAAAGGCTGGGCGGCTGACCCCTGGCCTGGGGAGGGCACGCTGCACAGACTCTGAAGGCCTAGGGATGCTTGGCGGGGAGGGAGGGCTGAGGGGCTGAGGTGAAGGCCACTTGTCACCCGAATGGAGAAGGGAACAAGTGTCAAGCTAGACAAGACCCACCACCAGGTGACGTGAGGCAGAGGACGGGTAACTGTGTACTAGCGGCTGGTGGTGATCCCACTGGAGGTCCAGGCAGCAGAGTGAGCCCCCAGCGTCCAGCCCTCAGCCTGCAGAGGGTCGCAGGCCCGACATGCACAGTGTGCTTCCCGAGGCAGCTTGATGGAGCCGCCCCACGGTCCCAGTCAACCACCTTCTTCAGCAGGCAAGTTCCAGGTTCCCCACATTTCCAGTGCCATCGGAACACTGGCTGCTAACACCAGGCATGGATGGCGGGGCACCCTCCAGGTCTCTCCCTTTGCCTGTACTTCTGGTCTTTCCCAGTGGCAACCATGGGGCACAGTGACTTCGTATTCTAGTGCAAAGTGAAGCTCGCCCCCAGAAATGCTGGAGCGGCACTCCCAGCAGTGACCACTTGGCCACCAAGGGTAAGGACAAGGCCCCTGCCTGCTACAACGGGCCCGGGCAGGACTGGTGGTCACTTACAGGTGGGAAGCAGACTCCCCTCTCCAGGTCCCTTCAAGCCACCAGCCTGGCCAAAGTAACTTCCGTAACCAGCGAGCTCTTCAGGGAGAGCAGGGCAACCACGTGGGGAGCTGTCCTGGGGGTGTGCAGAGGGCGGAACAGGAGCATCTGGGAGCCTCGGCCTGGGCGGGGGGCAGCATCAAATGGTCCGGGAGCATGGAGTCCATGTGAGCAAGGGGCAGGGACTGTGGTCACGGGAAGAGCTGGAGTTGCAAGCGTGAGGGGAAGCATGCACGGAGGGTAGGTACCAGGCTAGCACACGCTACTGGGAAGCGAGGTGGGCGACAGGGCGCCCAGGAGCACGGAGGACGCTCCCCTGAAACACGTCTGGAGAGGCAGGGAGGGGCGTCTTCAACCAAGAACGATGTTGTTGTAGGGACGTTTCTTCTACGCAGCAAAGGGGGTTGCTGCCCGGTAGCTGCAGCTGCAACCAGGGCGGCGGCGGCTCCTACAGGTTCCGCGCTCGCGCAGGCAGGGCCTGGGCGGCACTGGTCCCGCCGGAGGCCGGGTGCACGGGGC